TCAAATTAATCAGTGGTTAAAATGTCCAAAATGATGGATGAGTTAATTTACACCAAGGAGCACAGTGAATATTTCATTTCCTACCTCCCCGTGTAATGCTAATCCTGTCCTAATGAAGATAGACATACAGATCTTTATTGGGATTGTCTGATATAAAGTACACAACCCCAGATCAGAAAAAAGCCGGGATGGTATGTAAAATCAAAATGAAAACTGAAAATAGTGATGTGTAAATCATCTGTGTTACATTGAAAGCAATACAGCAGCACGTTATTTGATGTGACACCTCATCAGTTTTATTCTTTGTTCAAAATAAACACTCACTTTAATTCTGATGCTGCCACACATTCCAAAAAAGTTGGGACAGTAAAGCATCTACAAATGTGTGATTTTGCCGTTCCTTTTCACAACACTTAAAAGACATTTAAGGACTGAAGACACCAAGTCATGAAGTATGTCAGGTGTCATTTTGTCCCATTCTTCCTCCAAACAAGTCTTAAAGTGCACAACAGTCCTGAGTCTTTGTTGATACAATTTACATTTCAAAATGCACCACACATCCTCTACTAGGGACAGTTTGGGACTGCAGGCAGGCCGGTCTAGCACTCACACCGTTTTCCTCCACAGCCAGGCCTTGGTAATGTGCACTATGAGGTTTTGCATTGTCTTGTTGAAATATCAGGGAGGCCCCTGGAAAAGATGTCGTCTTGAAGGCAGCATATGTTGGTCCAGAGTACACGGCATCCATTCCTTCCAAAAATGACATATCCAAATCTTGTTACCCTAACCTGTGGTTTAAGTTAGGGTAAGCATCCAGGAAATGAATGTAATGTCCTCTGAAGTGATGTACTGTAAACAAGACTGTGTGTACACGTCTTTATTACATTATGTGGCCCATTTTTTCTTCAACACTAGCATTTTGAGGACATTTTAGCCAGGCCTCACACCTACAAAGGGCTGTTTGAGGGTTGAGATTTGGTTTTACAATTAGGTTAAGTGTTAGGGGTAGGGTTGGGTTTGGGAATTTAGTTATGATGGTTAAGGTTAGGAAAAGAGACGAGGGAATGCATCATGTCGCTGAGAATCCTCAGAACTATAGACAGACATACAAGTGTTTGTGTGTCTGTGTGTGCATGTGTGTATGAAAGAGACAGCAGGATCACATGAGGTTAGAAGAATGGTGATATGTACTGGTATTTGGCAAAATCTGAACACACTCCCACACACACTGATCAGTGTGTGTTAGATTATGGCTGGAAATAAAAATGCATTTTAGAGATTTCCACATCTACAAATCATCCCACATGTAAGAACACACACAAATGTAACCATGAAGGATACGTATGTTTCACATTAGTTGAAGTGAGCGACCACACTAGTCACACACCAGCTTTTTCCCAAATCTCTTTGTCTTTTCTTTCCCTTCCCTACTTTCCTTCTCAGTCTCCCATCAGTAGGTATGTGTGTTTATATGTCCGCACCACTGCAGCTCTAATTAAAACCACACTCTCTTTTTATCGTCAGACTCTTTCACAACTTAAGACTATTTGCAAACTTGCTGCCTGCTGTCTGTCTGTGTGTCCAAGTCAGTGGTTCGCTAAATGTTTGATATAATTGACTCTGTGTGTGTGTGTATGTTTTTGTACAGTGTTTTCAGAGGAAGTATATTTTTATTGGCAGTTTATAGAAATCCAAACAAGGTATCTGGTTTCTGGAGTAATTCAGCATCAGGCTGGAGTTTGTTTTCAGTAACATGGATAATCAGAATATTTGTGAAAATATTGGTAAAGTTGATATTAATTAACAACGGCAATATATAGGGTGACATTGGAGATATTGGTTTATAAGGACTTCTGGGTTATACGTAGGTTGTGCAAGACCATCCTACAATAGTTTAGAGATTACTAGGGGTACCCTCAGTGTGGGGCTGCAAGGGACTGTAAGAAAATTATTCAGAAAAGAGGGAGGGGTACATGTTGGACAGAGTGACTCAAAGAGACGTCGTTTCACTTTTTCTCCATAATTCCTCCTGACTTAGGTTTTATTTCAGCCTTTGTGTGATTTCTTGCATAAGATCATCAAATAATTATATCAAAAAGTTGGGTTTTGTTGTGTATTCTGTTTACTAAGTTGTTTTTGTAATAATCAAAATCTGCAGCTTGTTCCACTGTTCCAGGTTCCCTCATTTACTGGTTGCCATAGTCCATGTACATGAAATAAATAATAGAACCTTTAAATGAGTTTTGAATTTTTTCATTCATGACATCAGTGTTTAATTAAGATTTTCAGATTATCTAATAAAATGTCCATCCATGGATGCTTGGATAGAAAAATGGAAACATTTGACCTTTTGACCAAAGTCCAGTTTGCGTGACTAGCGTGCTCACTGCATGTCGTGCCGGGCACAGTTCAGTTGAACTGTAGGCTGTAGTGTGATTGCTATGCCAGAGCACTTCTCTTCAGCTGCATCATGCTCCGGCCCAGTGCAGTGTGAGTGCAGGCCAGTGGGGGACAATGGTGCTAGTGCACGGTACCAGGCCACCATGCCTAGTGTGAGCACACCCTGATTGGCCAGACATACTGTACCAGGCATAGTTAGGGCTTCATCAGAAAGATTATGTGTGCTCATGTAAATACACAGTTATACACAGGTGGCAGTTTATGAGGAACACCAAGCTAATGCTAATACAGTTTAATAAACAGTCCTGCAATAAATCCACCCTCATGAAGGTAATAATGTTCAGTTTTCCAGACTGTTTCAGAGAGGTGTTGATTCAACTGTATGATCATGATAGTTTGTGCTGCTATTGAACTGTACATCATTATACAGAGAGCTGCCATTTTGTCCAGTCTATTTATGTCATTGAAGGTAGACTGTATTGACTAGGAGTGTTGGTCATACGGTGGATGTGTGTGTAGTGTGTGCATACAAACAATACAAGCTAGCCAACACTGCTTTAATTAGTTCTGGTTTTAGGTTTGTGTAGACTGCATCAGAAACAAAATCAGTTTTAGGCAATGATACAACTTTAGTTTCACAGAAAGAAATTATGCTTCCAGTCTCTGTCCTTTCTCTTTTGATTCATCCTTAACCTACTGAAAACACAGCTAACCTTTAGACATTTTGTAATAAGTAAAACATATTTAAAGTATTCTGCTTACCCTGGTGTATACTGTAGTGTTACTAGAAAGCAGTGGTTGAATAACGTATTCAATTTTTTTTTTTTTTTTTTACTTAAGTAAAAGTACAGTATCAATGCTCCACTGATAACACGCCATTAAAAGGTCTGCATGCAAAGCTATACTTAAGTAAAAGTATGTAAATATTACCATATTCCCCTCTGGTCTTTCTATCACCTTTGGACTCTGTTGCTATTGTTTATGGACAAGAGGACTGGCTAGGGGTAAGGGAAGTAACATACAATAACCAGATGGCGATGGTCATAGTGTGCAATATTTATTTGTACTTGACTGAGAAAGGAAAACAAAGGCGGTAATGCTTGACATTGTCTTCAAACTACAAAAAATGGTCAGCACTAAATCAGAATCAGCTTTATTGGCCAAGTGTGTCAGACACACAAGGAATTTGACTCTGATACATCGGCTCTCAATGTGTATGTAAATATGCCCATGCAAGGGGCAAGTAAACAGTAAACCAACATGAGGCTGTGTAATATAACAAATATAAACAGTATTAACAAGCAACAAACAGTGCAAACAATGCAAAATAAACAGTATAAACAAATGCAAACAGACAAAGGAATGCTCATTGTGAACAAGATAAATAGGAATAAAAATAGAGTGCTAAAGACGAGGAAAGACAGGACTGGGAGTACCACTTAACAACATAACAAAAAGAGTTACAAACCCTGCCCTGTTTACTCCATTAAAAATAAATAAATAAGTCAAACCCAAACATCTGCTAGGATTACAGAACAGAAGATAATTTGAAACAAAATAGCCAAGTGTGTGGACAACTGAAAATTAACCCCTGCAATTCTCAAAAAAAAAAACAACCCAAACAGTTCACAAAGGGCTAGTCTAGCACAGAGTAATTAAAACCAAGGATAAAGTAGAAACATTTGCATTTACAAGACAGGTGTGAATATATAAACTACTCTAGCAAGTCGATTCACAGCTTTGGTTATGTACCATAATTCCATATTTTATAGACACAGCCCTGTAAGACTGTAAGTTTATCCCTCGCACTCAGGGAAACACAATAAGCTTCCTGGGATCCACCACCACTCACCAGGTAGGCAGTGACGGATGGGAAGCATGGCCGGACCTGATCATACAGAGACGCCTGCTTCAAGTTATACTTGCTGAAGAGACATCTGCGCCAGAGGCACCATCAGTTAGTGGATGTCTGCCATCTCAGTAACGTCTAGTAACTCCTGTAGAAACATGCAGATGGCCGGGAAAGGAGTTGATGCCAACAGGGGCTTCATAAGTGTCCATTATGACATTGAAACAAATAAAATGGTTAGAGACAATGGTCATAATTTAGGCTTACCAATATCAGCTGGAGCATCATTAAGGAAGAGAGAGAGAGAGAGAGCACTGTTGAACTTACTAATCACAGAGGAACTGGCAAATCAAGGGAGACCTCCACAGCTGGTGACAGAAGAATTCTCTCTGTAAAAGACATATTGCCAAACATGTGTGCGACAGATGAAAAACACTCTTCAGGACTCAGATGTGGATTCCTCTCTGCGAAAGACTTCATGAACAGAGGTTACACTACAAGTAGCAAACCCCTGTTTAACCTCTAAAACCGAGTGGTCAGGTTACAGTTGGCCAGGAAGTATTTAACTGACCAAGTTCTGAAAAAAATTCTTGTGGACAGAGAGGAGAGAAGCTCCAGAGCATACCACCTCATCTGTGAAACGTGGTGGGGGTGGTATGGCTCAGGCATCTTTCATTTTACTGTTTTCTGTTAAATTTTATATTTATTTAAAAAATACAACGAAACACTTGCGCTGTGGTTGTCTCCTACTGACATACACAACCATCACTAACTCATTCAGGGAGGGTATTACTATTACATAGTTGAGAAATCAATGTATGCATACATCAGCTGTTGAACTGCTACTGCATTACCAAGGAAGCTGGTATGTGATTTGAAACTTTGATAATGATTTTTGAATGGTGAGGACAAGAACAGAACATGGGCAGGGTGGCTGGTATCCTTAATGATGTTTTAGGCTTTCCTTTTGCAGTGAGTGGTGTAGATGTCATGATGCTGTGCTAAATCTGTGCTAATGATTTTTGCTGCCGTCTTTACATACATCTGTAGCAGTCTGCAGTCCTGAGCAGTGAGGTTGCCAAACCACACTGTAATGCAGCCCATCAGAATGCTCTCTATTGGACAATGATATAAATTCACAAGAGCTGTGGTACCCATGCCAAAACTCTTTCTCTGCCTCAGAACAGAGTACAGTCTCTGCTGTGCTTGCTTGATGACACAGTTGGTGTTGAGAGACCATGTTGAGGGTATCTGAGATGTGTGTGCCAAGAAATCTGAATCTGTCAGTTATTTCAACAGATGACCCACTGATGGAAAGAGAAATATGATTGTCTCTGTTCTTTCTAAAGTCAGCAGTGATTTCTTTGGTAAGTCACTGCTACTGGAGCTGGCTCCCTTATTTTCTTTGATGATGTATAGTAACTACTAATGATAGGATCAAAATCAACCCTGAATTGTACAGGCTCCTCCTGCCGGCTCAAGTTCTAGTGAATGCCTCAAAACTCACTGGATGGTGGTTCATTCTACAAGGCAATGATCTCAAATACACTGTTCATTCAACCAATGAGTATTTCAAAGCAAACAAATTGACATTTGTTGAGTGGCTAAATCAGTAACCTGACCCTCCCTCTGCTGAAGAGAAACTTTAGGGGCCTAGCCCCCAAAACAAGCATGAGCCAAAGTTGGCAGCAGTAGAGACCTGGCAGGGCATCGCCAGAGACGATACGTAGCTTCTGGTCATGTCTTTGAACCACAGACTTCAAGCAGCTACTACATGCAGAGGATATGCAACAAAGTATTAACATGATTACTTTCACTCACATAGCATTGCTGTGTCCCAAAGATTGTGGGGTGCCCTGAAATAAGATTGTGTATATAGATTGTGTGTATATACAGGTCTCTATTTATAAGTACTTTTTTCTTTCCTAATGCACACTCCTTTTGCTTGTTCCCACATTACTTTCTTTCCTTTTTGTTCTCTCAGCCTTATATTGTTTACTTGCCCACTGCTGCCTTACATAAGGACATGTACATACACATTGAGAGCCGCTGTACCAGAGTCAAATTCCTTCTGTGTCCAACACACCTGACCAATAAAGCTGATTCTGATAAGGAGACATATATAAACACAGCTGTAATTTCTCCATGGTAAAACCAAAATGTATAAAAAATCACTTATTCGCTATAAATAAATGCAAATGTCCCATTTAGCCACAAATCTGAAACTGTGGAGTACAGAAGCAAATGGATAAATTATGGGTTTGTCTCAAACATAATTTTCTAAGTCAAGGGGAGAGCCTAAAGAAAATATTAATAATGCTGGGGAGGACACTGCTTGTGTATAAAACTGAGCAAAACATTAAGCCCCAATAACTTTCATACACTTCCTAAAATCAAATTAAAGACTCTTGTATGCACCAATAATACTGTTTCCTTTGCAGAGCAAGACTAAAATTCCATTAATCTGCTGCTAGCCTCTAGAGATTACAGTGTTATTTTGTTATACCATGTAGCTGCAGATGAGAAATCTAGCTATTCTTCTGATGTTATCAGTCCTGTGGACAGTGTTTAACATTGCAAAATGAATCTCTTTTGTAGTCTTACCTTATCACAGTTGTGTTGTAAAAGTTCATTCCACACCAGTTCATTTAATCCCACCTCCAACTAATGCAGGTAAATAGGTGTTTAAAAGAATCATGGAAGACAGCACCCTAAAAACAACAAAATAACAGGATTTATGAGTGATTGGCTGAGTAACCAATCAAAACCTCACACAGTGGAGGCTGTTCCTGTTTGCAGTTTGATGGCGACTTGAGGTTTGACAAGCAAATCAACTCAGTTGTGAAATCTAGCTTCTTCCAACTCAAGCTGTTAAGCAAGGTCAAGTCATTCCTTTCTTTTAATGATTTTGAGATTGCATTCCATGCTTTTATCACTTCTAGGCTTGATTATTGCAATGCTTTATACCCAGGTGTTAACTAGTCCTCCCTCACTCGTCTCCAAATGGTGCAAAATGCTTCTGCTCATCTTTTGACAAGTACTAGGAAATTCGAGCATAGGACACCGGTACTGGCTTCTCTCCACTGGCTCCCAGTCTGTTTTAGAAATGATTTTAGACTGCCTTTTTTTTTTTTTTTTTTTTTTGTTCTCTCAGTGTCATCACTGTGCACAGTCAGGAAACCAGCCCTGGGGATTTTAACTAACAAGGACATCTCTGGCATTAGTTGAAAGCTTTCTCTTTGTCTGTCTCTGCTGAAGGTGCCCGACAGCCAACACGACGTGTCCTCCTGGTCAGGCTTGGAGCAGCAGGCTATGCCTGTGTGTCAGCATTGCCACCATTATGCACCACAACCCCCCTCTACCACCATTGCCCCCTCCAAGACCCTCCCAACAGCACCTTGGTGAGTGTTTGCACATTTGTAGACAAAAAGGTTTATTTTGTATCTTTCATATTTTTTTCAGGAAACACTGTAGAGCAGGGCTCTTCAGTTAAAATTCCAGGAGGTCCAATGAGTTAACATTATCCTGAGCTGAGGTCCAGACTATTACGCACCAACATTTTTTCAGTGCTTTTTTCCCATAGTTATCTGAACACAGGTCTTGGCAACAAATCTCTCTCACTCTCTCTCAAAAGTCTTTTGTTTTCAGTTCTCTATAAGTCAGATTCTTCCCTTTTAGCAATGTGTGCATGTTCTCAAAAAGGCCCAGCCCCAAAACTGAAGCATAACTGATACTGATACTGATACCTTGAGTCTTTTAGTTGTTCCAAAGGGCAGGTCAAAGACCTTTGGGGCAGCTTTTAGTTTTTTATACTCCAAACTGTAGGAACAGTCTGAGGATCTCATTGTTGTTCTAATTCTCTGTTCGCTCTTTGGTTTGTCTTTTGATAATAAGTTGTTGTTTTTTTTAGTTTGTTTGAATTAATATCCCTAATATCTTTTTGCCTTATTCTGCCTTATTGTTACCTGTAAAGCACTCTGAAGAGCAGGAACCTGTATGAAAAGTGTTATAAACACAAAGCTTGAATGACTAATTGTGGAAGATTTAACAGTGTTTTAGCAGCTACTCCTTGACACCACCTCCCCTCACTAAACAGCTTTTTATGTTTTCCCAAAAACTGCATGCACAAGTTGCGGCGGACTGGATAAGAATCATTAAGTTTGATTTTAACCACAGCCTCAGAGCACAGCTACGTTTGTCGAAAAGCAGTAGAATAAAGGCGCGTTTGCACGAACAGCACCACCATCGTGTATGTGTGCGAGAGTTGGCAAGGAGGTTAGAGCAAGAAGGTTCCATGCTTGAGACCCAGCCAACCCGGTGCCTTTCTGTGTGGAGTTTGCAAGTTCTCCTTGTGTCTACATGGGTTCTCTCCGAGTACTCTGGCTTCATGCAGCTTAGGTTGACTGGCGACTCTAAATTGCCAGTAGGAGTGACTGTGGTTGTTTGTCTACATGTCAGCCCTGTGATAGACTGGTGACCTGTCCAGGGTGGACCCTGCCTCCGCCAAATGTCAGCTGGGACTGGCCCCTGTGACCCTGTTCAGGAATAAGTGGTGCACATAATGGATGGATGAATGGGGTTTTCAATGTTAACTTTAAATGGCTGTCAGATCCAGAATCTGGATCATATCTGGATGAACTTTGGTCTGCTGAGAGACGTTGCCACCCTGCAATATGTGTGTCAAATAAAAAAAAAAAATATTTTGACAACTTTTGACAGAAATATTAATTTTTTCAAAAACAATTTCCCCCATGTTAAAGATGGGATTTTATTTTGTGGGTGAGAATTTTTTTTTTTGTTATTTTTTGTGACCTTGGCCTTTTTCATTCAAAATCTAATCACTAATAGTGTTGGTCCCCACCAATGTTTTTACCAAATATGCTGGTGATCCATCCAGCTATTTGTCCATAATCCTGCTAACCAACAAACACACACACACAGAACCAAAAACATAACCTCCTTGGCAGAGGTAAAAATCTAGTCAAAATAAGGCTTATTATTTAAATTTGACACACTTTGCAGTCCGCATAGAAACCTCTTTAGGTACCCCTGCTGTAGAGGAAGCTACATTTGCTTATCTTTCCTGAAGCGGCTTAGAAAATGGAAGAAAACATATCACAGCTGCTGATTGGCATAAATAACATGGAAACCACCCTTCTGCCAAAACTGCAGTAATAAGCAGTTTCAATGGCAGAGCTATTGGAAGCTACATGTGTGGCCATGTAAATGTGTTTTTATTTTTGTGTGTCTTTAATATCTAATGTGAAACATAAACAGGGCTATTTCATGAGGTACAGATGAAAATATTTGAAACACCATGATAGCATCGGCTGCTGTTTGCATATATTGGCTCCATTCCTTAAACCTTTTTGGAACAATGCACCACTACTAATGGGAGCTCTCATGTGGAAAATCTTTAGCCAACATTACCGTCTAAAATAATATATACAAGTGAGAAATCAAAAAAATGGTGATAACAGGTAGTAAAGCCCCTTTTTTGTTCAGTACTGTAGCATTTTTAACCTGGTCGATGCAATTTTTAAGTTCTTCATTTTACCCTTGTGTGACATTTATGTATATGAAACATACCATCAAATGAAGCCGAACAGGAACCCTTATATAGAAACTGGGGTGTTGTTCATTATGCTAATGATCAAACTTAAAAGAAAAAAGGTCAAAGAAATTTAAGGTGAGATCATGAAAACTGCCTGTTAAGGCCTGGTTGCAAGCTTGACCCTAGCATACATTAAAATATAAAGAGCTGTCTTATTAATGCCTGTCAAAACTGTTTTGAGAAGGTACAAAGGTTTCAATTGCTTTTAACTACAGACCTATCTTGTTGCTTCTGTTCCTGACCAAAATGGCCATAAATCTGCTGACTGTCTTGTTTACTAAGATGTCTGCTGCAAACACACATTATGTATTTAAAAGTATATTTAAAGATGGGTAAATCGGGCTAAAGCTTGGGTTGCCCTGCTGTAGATACTAGAGCCATGAGAGGAACAGCTGGTTTCCTGTTGTCTCTGATGTCATCCAGTTTTCTATCACAGTAAACAGTGGTTCTTCTGTTCAGGCTGAAGCTAGAAAAGCCAATACTGCAGAGCAGTCAGTACTGTGCAATGCAGTACAAACAATAGCTGCTAGTAAATGCGACTGATTAGTCTGGGTTGTTGCTGTAAGATGATGTGTTCCCCAGGCCTGCAGTTAGCACACACATACCAAACACTGAAACAAACACTACTAATGAAGCCATTTGTCTCTATGTCAGTGTTTGCGACATGAGAATGTTCATGCATTCACTAAGAGTATTTATGGCTGCAAAGTATTTATTGAGAGTCAATATGTTTGTGTACATGAACTCCTCTGTGTGTGTTTTGGTTATGATAACACTCTGGACTAAGCCACACAGAACCAAAAACAGAAGAATGCGGAGACCCGAGAGCGGCCGATTCCACAGTTACACACACTTCCAAAACACACTTACACAGTATGTATGTACAGTATGTATGTATGTATGAAGGGGTCAAAACAAATGTATTGAGCTTAATTTCAAAGCTAAATTCAAACACTAAGCACAGAGTAGCTGATGACAGTGTTTCTCAAAAAATAAGTGTTTTCATGAATTTCCCTGTGCATGGTCATCATCACCAGAGGAGGAGATTACTTCTTCATGAATTTCCCTGTGCATGGTCATCGTCACCAGAGGAGGAGAGTCCTAATATTTTTGTGGTCTTTCTTCCAGTACCACCATCTTCTGTGCACAGAAGAAAGTCTCTGGTCCTGTAACTAAAAGGAATGATCATATACAAAACTTGGGAAGCAGCCATGGACACCAATGATATGTTTAAGCTCTTGCATAGGGAAAGCGATGCAAGAGCTTCATTCACATGGAGTGATAGACAAGAGATATGCACCTGTCCCTTTTGGAGGAGAGAGACATGTCCCAGAACGGTCATTACATCACAGCGAAGCTTCAGTACTGAAAACAGAGGAAAGAGAGCAGAAAACAGGGCAAGAGCAGGAGAAGAGTTAGCAAAAGGGCGAGAGAAATAAGCACATAACTTGAGTCCAGGGGATAGCAATAGCAGTAGTGTCCATAGGACCACAGTGGAGGAGTGTTGTGAGAAGACAGAATAACGAGGAAAAAGTAATAATTGTCTGTATGTAATTCCAACTGCAATACATGTGAATACTTTATCAGTTACTGTCACCACTGGAGACATTGTCAGTGTCTTGGTGGTTTTACCCAGACAGAGTCAAAGCAGTGTATGAGAATCTTGGACATCAATCAAAGCATTTATATGACTTGTGCATTGAAGCACTGGGTCTTGAATTCTGGGGAATCCACTCCCTTATTTGTGGACAGTGATTGCTTAGCCATGCATAATGAGCACCTGCTTTAGCATTGCTAAAGCTTCCACAAAGGACTTTCTCCCTTGTTCTTTACCCTCCTTCACTTGTCCCATTGACATTCTTGTTTGGATCCTTAAAAGTATTAACGTGGTTTTCAACACATACTAGTGATGGCAACCAAACACAGTGTGAAGTTATTTTGGACATTCCCTACTAACACAGTGGGTATTAAAATGCATCTTAATGCATCCTGGGCAATTGGATCACAAGTTTACAGCATTAAATGCAAGTGTAAACAACTGCCAGGACAGAATGTGATCTGATCACTGAAACCACTTGCGGAGGTGGTCTGACTGGCGTAACAATTGTACCCATGGCCGTTTGATATTTAAGTGAAGTGTTGCAGCATTAGTGAAATCTGACCACAAGTGCTCAGCTAGACACTTGGAGACACATGTATATTGACAGGTGTAAACGGTGATGTGTCTCACTGTCCACTTGTGATTTGATTGTCCAAGTGGCATTTTAAAACCAAGTCTAAACAGGGTCATATTCAAATATGGCTTACTGTATCTAATCAAATTATTACCAACCAATATTAGTACAGAATTAACAGTAACTATGTATGCTGAAACCCTTCACGAAATAAGATTGTTCCAAAAGGTCGATTCTGTTGGACTTCATGACATTAAATAATGAACAAAAATTATTAGTTTGAGGGGGGATTTGTGGGCTCCACTGTGGTTTCTCCATACATTATAGTGGATAGTGAAGAGTTTGTTGTCATCTCGGAAACATTCTCAAGGAAAGATAAAGTTCTGAAGTTTATTGCATCATTGTTAGTCTGTGTAAGCACATGATGCTTATTCTGGAGTAGACAAAGCTTCTGTTATCTTTGTTTGTTCATCTGTACACACATACATATCATTTACTAGACCTTCCATTGTTCTCTCTTCATCTTTCCTTGTGCTAAAAGATGATTTACCAGTATGAAAAAGAACCCTCAGTGTTATATCTCAGGAATGTCTCAATTTCATAGTTTATCAGTGTTGTCAAACAGCTGTCACACACGAAGGGTCTTTCAACTGTATGCAGTTGTGTAACAGTTTCAAAAATAGCAAGCATTCACAACAGTGTTTTGCATAAGGCATCAGTTTGTTTTGATGAGTGGTGCATATTGTCTTTCCATTAGTTTCTACCACAGGAGTGGTCGTAACTCCTGATCGTCTTGGGATCCACACATTAAAATTAAACATTAATACAATTTTGAAAAGCAATGACCAAATGAAAATCGAGAAAATGGAGCAGCTGCAGCTTATCAGCAGCATGGAAAGAGAGACTGGTCAGAACTGAGGGAAGGATGAATGAAGCCAAATACAGAGGTCCTTGAAGAAAGCCTGCTCCAGAGTGCGGTGACCTGAGACTGGGGTGATGGATCACCTTTTAGCATGACAATGACCTAAAGCATACAACCAAGACAACACTAGGGTGGCTTCAGGACAAGCCTGACTGTCCCTGAATGGTCTAGCCAAGGCCCAGATGTAAACCCCAGAGAACATCTGTGGAGAGACCTGAAGATGGCAGTTCACAGACACATCCCATCTACTCTGTTGGAGCTTGAGTGGATCTGTCAGGAAGAACAAGATAAACTTGCCCGAATCCAGGTCTACAATGCATTTGATTTACCCAAGAAGACTGATGTGTTAACTGTTGCCAAAGGGTCTGAATACTGTTGCAAAAGAGAGATTTCACTATTTGATTTTTAATAATCTTGCAAAATTTTCTGAAATCATGTTTTCATTTTGTTTGAGTAGATCGATGGTTAGAAATGGCACTTTTATCCATTGAAAGCCATTCACAACAATTTAAAAGTGCCAGAAGTGAAGGGGTCTGAACACTTTCTCAGCCACTGTATGTATGGTTTTGACCAGTGCTCCAATAGTTGTAATAGTAGTGACGGGGAAACTTGATGTAACATTACAGCAGCTTTACTTATCTTTATTGACATTGAATTGAATTACAATGAAAGTGACTCATGCCGATGCCACTGTCAGATACCAGAAGCATAGGAAAATGTAAAAACAATAGTGAAGAGAGTACATATCAGTACCACTGTATCAGTATTGTGTTTCCAGCCAGTTACCTCCTGCCAGAAAACTTATAAATAACAAATTCCATCTGTGTCCCTCTGCTTCCATCTCACAGACATATTCTCAGCAGATGTGTGTGGCCCAGATAAGGAACTAGATGTGGAATCCTGTCAGTGTGTATGTCGACGTGGGGATCAAACGCGTGACTGTGGCCCTAACCAACATCTTGACCGCAACACCTGCCAGTGTGCTTGCAACGTGCTGCCTGCACCCTCCTGCCCGCTCAACCACGTCTTCAACAAGGAGACCTGTCAGTGCACATGTATTAAGACATGTCCGAGGCACCAGCCCCTAAATAAAACAAAGTGTTCATGTGAATGTAATGAGTCACCCAATAAGTGTTTCCTAAAAGGACGACGATTCCATCAAGCGACATGCAGGTAAGAATCAATTTAGGGGTTCATTGCCATCCAATGACACTTCTAGCAAGAGAGGACCCTAAGCTTAAAAATATAGAAACCTAAAGACTTTAAGTCCAGCAGAAACCTACAAAGACTGGATAACCTTCATATTTTCTCATGTTAACTGAACTGTTTGTACAACTGAAAAACAAACAAAGCAGGAATCAGTAGCAGTCCTTTGGTGAAATATTGCACCAGCTGGATCTTGTAAACAAAACAAGTCACACTCACAGTGGAACATTAGTGTTTTAGTACTCACAGGCAGGTTTAACTTTCTCTGTCTGGTGGCTGTGCTGACTGGTGATGGGGTTCTGTATCACTAGACCAGTTGAAGTGAGTAACCCCGACCACCAGGGGCAGTAGTGAGCAAATTGCCAAAATGCAAAAGGTGAGATTATTGCTTTACTGGAGGAGTTTTTCAAACACTGCAGTCTACTTTTTCCAAGAGAAAAGACTCTAATCATGGATGTTAAGTATCTCAAGTTGGTTTTGCACTTGTGCGCCCAGTTTGTTTGCCCATCTCTGTTAAAATGTTGCACACAGTGATATCCTGGCTGTTCCTGCGTGATATCCATGAGTGTCACATTCCTAATACTGCCTTCGTCTGGCACTATTTGCAAATTGTCAGTTTCTTTTTTGCCTGTGCCATTTCTTGAAATGGGAAAACTGAAATGCTGCCACACAACAGCTCTAAAAGGTGATGATGGAGCATCCAGTATGTTAGTTTCAAATACCTGAACGCAGTTATACTAGCAAAATAATCATATGTAGTATCATGGTAGATACAACATTATTGGGAAAATCATGATATCACAAAATTACAAATACTATTACATGCGCTGCTGCAATACTGCCAGCGCTTGATTCTCAAATTGAGCAACAGTTTAATGCAAACTAGATATTCATACAATATTAACAGTAATAGGAAATCTATATAACTAAAATTAATATACATGGAGTCTAGCATTTATTATTTTTATTATT